GCCACAACCGGAACGTCCAACAATTAGTCCTCGTTTAACACTATTTTCAAATAAGGTGTTGTGTTTAGGAAATTGTTGCTGGGGTATACAAACTGAATAATCATGATTTGAAATTTTTAATAAATCTTTTTGTTGTATAAGTTTCATTGTTGACGTACAGAATACAAATACTGCTAATTTATACATTTCTACTATTATAACTATAGGTATGTACAAAAAAGGTAAAATTTAAGTATTTGTGGAAACACACCTTTTTGTCTAATTAATTTAAATTCTCTATCAAATGGAAAATAACGCTTTACTTGTACACATTGTCCATCTTCCAATGCTGATGCTAATTTTTCTAAAGAACATGCCAAAAATTGAAAACTATCGATAAAACGTAAATTTAAATATTCTTTTACCAATCGATTCTCTGAATTTATGTAATGTCCTACACAAWTTTTTTTCGAAAAAGTAATATACTTTTCCTTTGTTTTACCGAGTATGTTTATTTCACTTTCTTCAACAGCTAATTCTTTAATAAATAAATGACTATCATAATTTGTTAAATTATGGAAAACAATTGGAATGTAATTTGGAATCTGAAAATTTAAGTTACATATACTATGAGCAGCAAATCTATAACGACCCGTTAAATGACAATGATCTTTCACCTTAATATCGGAATCTTGAAAAGGTTTTTTACAAATATGACACTCTGAAGCTGTAAAAAATTRAAACTGTTCACGATCAGTTAAGGGAAGCATTGGTTGTACAACACTTAAATACTTTATATGAATTTCCTTTAAATCATTTTCTAGTGACTTAAGAAAATCAACAACACATGTTGGTCCACGAAAACTTTGAAATTTTGATAATTGATTATTATAAGAGCATTTAATGTAATATGCACAAGAGTATGGTTGATGAAGAAAAGTTTTCATCGTAAATGATTGTTTCGGATCTGGTGCAACTGTACTCATAGGTTTCAATAAACATTCGAAATCGGCATAAACAATAAATGGAATAGTCATTTGATGATGAAAATTTTGAAATTCTACGACATTGGCAGGGACATTATAACCAAATTTGTTTGTTATTAATTGATTATTTGGAATTCTGGCGTAAAGTTTGCCACAATCAGTTGACGAATGTCTTTCTAATAAAGCTGAAGTAGTAAAATATTGCAGACATCCATCACAAAAAAATTTAGAATGATGATGTTTCGATAACTGAGAAGATACTAAACGTGGCAAATCAATGATTGTACAGTAATGTTGGTTACCATCACAATCACTCAATAGTAACAAATTGATATGAAGAGGTTTTTTATAATTAGTAAAATATAATGGGCCCACTACTTCAAATTTTACCTTATTYTTTACATAAATTAATTCAAGTCCGTACACATTAATAGAAACATTATTTTGCTTTTCAAACTTTGAAATACTATCTAACTTTACAGGAAACTCAATACCGTGAAAGTTAAAAAGCGTCGACCAATGTGGATATGAGCTAGTAAGATGTTCTGGTCCTATTGGTAGATAAATGATGAAGCTTTCAATGGGTTGTAGTAATTAATGTTCAATTCCAAATGTAGAATTTTAACAAGTGTCCAGCCTACAACAATAGTTATTACTATTATAGAGTTTTTTTTTTACCATACAATTACCAGAATCTCGCTCCAAAAAATCCAACATCTTTTGTCTGATTACATCTTGAAATTCYTTCAACATATGTCTTATGTTAGTACCTAAAGTTACAATTTTGTTGGCAGTATTAAATGATTTTACATCAAATATATTTTTCGATTCAATAGTATATAGTCCGAACAATTCCACATTAATTTTAAGCGTACTAAATTTTTCCAATTGTTGTTCTACAAGTCTAACTACTTTATTGCAAATTTTAGCCATAAATTCATCTAGATCAATATAATCTTGATCATCATGTACTCTGTATGAAGCAATTCGRGCTTTAAAAGCACTATTTACAACAAATACCCCATCTTCTAAGGGTGCACTTTGACAATTATTTTTATGCTGTCTACTTCTCTCATGAGCCGTAATATGCTTGGGAGGAATTTCTTCATTACAAGTGACGCACATGTATGTCTTAGATGCTAAAAAAATAAAATTAAAATTTAAACTCATTTCTAGTAATAATACTTACCAGTTGTATCAATTGTTTTTTGTTTTTTGGRGATTGGACTCACTCCTTCTCGRCMCACTACTTTACAATAATTTTTCTCATGACGGATACGCGATTGGCGCGTTGTAAATTGCTTATTACAATTTTCACACTGATGCATTTTCTAGAAAAAAATTGTTATTTTAATTAAACATGAAAAGCTTTCTTAAACATTTGCTGCCTTTAGTTACTATTCTTGAAAAAATTTCT